GTTCCAATGTGAAAATAAACAAATGCAGTTTTTACAAGACAACAAGCTCGAATGCAAAATTATCTGTTTATTTTGATGCGCGAGTGTAATTTTGATGAATATTTCCTGTGTATACAAAGATAATGTGGATTCATTTTATTTCTATTATATTTTATTACCCTTTAAATTTTATTACTTCTGTTCATTAAATTTAATTTGAATATCTTAGGTATGTCAAGAAGACATTTGATGTCTAATTCATCATGAAAAGACACTTGTCAAATATTTTTCGCCCGACTCCGAAGTAAATTATCTGTTCATTTTGATGCACGAGTGTAATTTTGATGAATATTTCCTGAGTAAACAAAGTAAATGTGGATTCATTTTATTTCTATTATATTTTATTACACTTTTAATTTTATTACTTATGTTTATTAAATATAATTTGAATATCTTAGGTATGTCAAGAAGACATTTGATGTCTAATTCATCATGAAAAGACACCTGTCAAATATTTTTCGTAAACAATACAATTATGGATGAGTGATAATTGCACACTGTGCAATTACCGGTGTAATTTTTCGATAATTGCCCACTTCAAACGGACAGATTATCAGTATACGAGGGAAATATTCAATATAAGTTCAGCCAGTGTATAGTCATATTATGGACCATAGTGTACCACAAAGCCATATTGCTTAGGCAGCATAATTTTTTGTTTATCGCGAGAGCAACCTTTTTAGTTAGTCGTCGTCAAATCGCTGTTGATACAGAAACGTTCTCGTGTTCGGAAATCTACTTTTGTACTGTGCTGTTCTTTATCATTTATCATTATACTTTTATTCATACATTAAGAGTGTGTCCACTTTATTTCACCAACAAAAACATCCAAAATTGGATACTTAATTGGTTCACTTAATCTGTCTGGTCCAAAAGTGGATGGTTTTTCGAAAGTCCCAGCAGAATGGGTTTGCTATTTAGTTATCCATTTTATGCCTGGGAAAGTTAAAAAAACACACAAAATATTCAGATAGAGACGAAAATTTTAACTCGATATAAAGATTGAACCTTGCCATTACGTGCAAACCAATATCATTTAAATGTCCGGAAAAATTCATTCAAAATTGAATGAATTTCAAAATCTGATGATGGCGCTGTTGTCTCGCCGAAACGCAACTAGCGAAAGTAAAACTACCTGCACCAAAAATAAAACGGAAATTTGTACATTTCCTTATTCGGACTTAAATTAAGTTTAATTAACACATAATTTTTTCCTTTTTCGCGTTTGAATTGCTATGGTTTGTTCTGAAGAATAGGTATAAGAAGAAAAAAATGGTGTGCGTCACGGGACGCTCGACAGAAGTGATAACTTCATAAATTAATAGAAACCATAAAATATTGAACTTGTTTAACGCATGATG